GCTCTGGCAAAGTCCAGGCACTGTCCTCTTGTAAGAGGCTGTTCTGACCTCAAGATATCTCTGTGTGTACAGAAACTACAGAATGTATTTGCCTCCTAACGAGCGAGAGCAGGAGTTTGCTCTGTTTGAAATGGATTTACCACGGTCAATGGACCTTTCTGGGATGTTTGCTGCTTTTACTGCAATTGTTCATCTTGCTTCTCAGACAGTGACTGGGCTCTGCTAGGATGGGCTTACCTGCTTTCTGCCTTGGCCCATCCATGTGATGGTAGTGCAGGACAGACCCCTTGTTTTGCAGGGAGCAGTCCACATGCATCTGATGTTTAGTGCTTCTGCAATTCTGGACCCACCATCTGCTGAAAAATGAAGCAAATTTATCAAATGTGTGGGTGCAGAGTCTAGAGGGTGTCAGGCCAGAGGTGCAGTTGAGGCACCTTCATCTCCCCCCACCCTCCTCCCTCTTCTTCCCACCTCACTGAAAAATGAGACGCCCACAGCCCTTCTGATGCCTTCTCTGCCAGTCAACCTCCAGCACCCCTCGGCTGCCAGCACCCAGACCCGACCCTCTGCAGAGCACTGCAGGAAAGGCAAGACTGTCTCCTCTGCTCACCTGTCACCCTCACCTCCCTTTGGCCCCAGGAGCAACACGCTAGGAGGAAGATGCTGCCCAGACCAGAGATCACGGGTGCTGAATCCAATGTGGATTAAGGAGCTTTGCCTCCCACTAGTCACAGCCTCTTTCCACTCCCATTCTGCACCCACTCCACTCAAATTCAAGTTGTGCCCTGCCCGGGGAAGGGGAGAAGAAACCCACAGAGCAGGAGAGCCAGGCAGGAACAGAGGTCATGGGGATGAACCCACAGCCAGCTGGGATCCGCTGCTCCCTGCTCTGCCAGAGGGCAGCTGGAACAGCTTTATGGAGCAGGGCAGCATTGCATTGGTATGTGGGGAGGAAGGGAACCAGGCTGGACTGGCGCTAGGCTGCAGGGCAGGATGGAGCTGTGCTTGCTGAGCCCGCTGGCAGAGGTTCATGCTAATGGCTGAGGAAGCGGTTAGCAGTGCAGGTTACAAAGCTGGAACAGGAGAGTAGGGTAAGTGTGGAATTCCCCTGCTATTTTCCTCCCTTGCTCTCCTCCTTATTGCTGCTGGGGCTGTTTCCTCCCTTGAACAAGTTTCTCTTGTGAGAATTGTTTGCATGATTTCCTACTGCTCCACTCAGTCAAAATAAGGAGCTGGGAATGAACTGTTCCTGCTGCAGATGGGGAGCTTATCTAGAAGGGGATTAAAAATGGACAAAGCAAATACAACTGAATGCCGGATCCCCTGTTTTAGGTGCTTCTGGGGCGAGATGGTGAAGGGAGACGCTGCTTTGAGGACAAGGTGTCTTGCTCTGCAGATGAGGGGGATCTGCAAGGTCAGCCCCTTTTCCAGAGAGATGAAAGAGGACAGCCAGAGAACTGGTGGGACTTGATCAGTTCTGCTTGTGTGTCAGAGCTGGGTGTCACCCTTACACTGTTCTCCTGCCTCCTGTCTTCAATGTGTGGAAACTTTTCCTATGGAGTGCTTGATGTCACTCGGCAGATGGAGATGGACAGCACTGTGGAAATAGATGTTCTCCTGTGCCTAAACTAGGACTTTGAGCGTGGCAAGTTCAGTCCCCGGGACATCCCCAGGGATAGCCCCGACCTCTCAGCTCCAGGGTTGTTATCTCTCTGATGACGGGTAGATCACCTTGTGCCAGGGATGTCCCGTGCCTATGGGACCTTTCCGATTCAGAGTGCTGAGTCTCCTTGTGCCAGGATGGAGATGGTGAGCAAGTGGAAAAGCTGAGCATGAGCCCAGCAGTCTGTATTCCTGCCATGTTTCCCTTGTCCACAGCTCCTCCATCCCTTGCCATTTCCAAAACTCCGTTACCCAATCTGAAAGTTCCCACTGGGCCCTCACCCGCACAGCTGCAGCCATGAGCACTGCAGGCGGGGAGCAGGCGAGCAAAGGAAGGCAGAGGAGAGGCGTGCGGGCAGCCCAGGGAAGGGCAAGGGTCTGAACATAACAGGGTGGAGGGCTTGTTCTGGCAAAGGCATGCGGCCACGGCTGGGTGAGGAGCAGTGAGTGGGTGTCTCTCCATCACCCCGCCCTGGCTCTGGGGCTCAGCTGTGTGCACCGTGTGCCAGCGTGCGGCCCGCAGTGGCTGGACTGTGCCGCAGCCACGGCAGAGAGAGGTGTGCTTGTGGCCTCATCCGGAAGAAAGTGGAGCTTGGCACGGTGCCTGTGCCTCAGATCCCCTGTGCACAGGAGGTTTCCTGGGTTAGCACGAGACAATCCCAGTTCCTGGTTGGCATCACTGCCCATGGCACGGAGTGCCTTAGTGCACACATGCTCTTTGTGGGCTCATCCCAGCCCGCTGGTCTTGCCATGATTCCCCCAAGTAGCTCACGGTTCTTGCAGCCACTTCAGGAAGTTGAGGACTGGCAGTGAGGAAAGACAAGAACGAATGCAGAAATGAAAGCACAGGAGGAGGCTGCACTCCCTTGGAGAAGGGGGAGGGGAAAAGCAATCCTTCAAAGCAAGCACATCTCAGGTGCAAGGTGAAAGTCTGAGCTCTGGCCAGGTGGTGCTGGTCACCCCCATTGCTTCTGCAGTATAGATGCTCAAATTTGCTCAGTGCCAGCCCAGCCCTGTGTCTCTACCACCTTGCTGAGCTGCAAAGGCATTCAAGACAGGAAGAGTGAGGTGCCGGCAGTGGGAGAGGGCTGCTCGGGGATTTCCACCTCCCCCGGGTGACTGCCCCACTGGTCCCCACATGACAGTGCAGTGTGGTGTGGGCAGAGGGGTCAGGGGGATTCCTGGGGCACAAGGGCTGGCTGCGGGGGGACACAACTCTGGGCACTGCTCTCTCCCCTGGGAGCCCAGCGTGGCTCTGGAAAGCGAAAGCACCAGTGGTTTAAAGTTCAAGCCAAATTGCCTTGGAAAGTCCCCTGTCTGAGCAGTCTTATCTTGGCAGTACCTGAAAAACGCAGATCCTGCAACCTCCTCCTGCACGTGGTGCCTAGGAGCGGGTTTGGAAAAACAGGGGCTGTCCCTGCAAGTGGGCAAAGGACACCTCAGCACAGGTGCTGCCAGAGGGACTGGGGGCCTGATGCAAAACCCAGCAGGGAATCTCCCTGCTCAGATCATATCCAGGCTAGGGTCAGCGAAAGCCTGATAAGGGGAGGAGTATTCTTGAATCTGGTCTCCTCGCTCCTGCCCCCTGCTAACCTGTCCTGGCCCCCTTGGCTGTGCCTCTGTCCCAGGGTCCACCAAGGACAGCCAGCCCCTGCCTGTGGAGCTGCATGGCCACTGCTCACAGCTCTCTCCCCTGCCCTGGGAGTGCTGGCATTGAGAGGACACTCTATGGCAGTGCAGAGGCAAATGTGGGTGGCCTCTCCTTCCAGCGGGGAATTCCCTGCTTCGGCATAACCTGGGGCTTCCCCAGGGACAAAGCCTCTCCTGTTGGGCACAGTCTCTTCTGTCAGGCACAGCCTTTCCCGTGGCAACAAGGTGGAGAGGAACTGGACTTGTTTTGCCTTCAAAAACGGTGCTCAGTTGAAGGTGCCTGGGGTCTCAGGTGCCGGCTTGACCTTTGAGCTGCACTTAGGAGGAGGTGAATAAAGGACGTTTTTGGGGACTGGCCTCTGAGCTTCTTGGCACACTCACATCCCCACTGCAACTGGTAAGAAGGCAGCCCCAGCCCTGCTGCTTTTCTGCAGTGCTTTAGGGCCAGGTGTTGCCCTCCTGCCTGGGGAGGGATGCTGTCTATTCCCCACATTGCAGGTGGCATCCCAAAGCTGGGCTGTCTGATGAGCAGGGTGTCTTGCCAGGGCTGGCACAGGTCTCACCCTCTGTCCCTTGGCCCTGCCTGCCTCCACCAAAGCAGCATGGGTGGCAGGAGCCCAGCCTTCAGTTCGGAGCTGATCCCTGCCAGAGGGGGAAGCCACCAGCGCAGTGGTGAGGAGGTGGCAGGAGGTTCAGCTCATGCCTGACGTGCTCTGCAGAGCAGGAGCTGCTGCTTGCTCCTCGCTGCTGCCCACCATGGCCGGGGCTGGCCCTGTGGTGAGACTATGGTCCCTCAGTGCAGGGGGGCCTGGGAGCACAGCAGGTTGGTGAAGGGGACTGGAAATTCCCTCTCGGCTCTGCCTCCCTTGTGCTCTCACTTCCGTTCTGACTGTGCAGGGGCCAGCTGGAAATCAAACCTCTCCTTGGGCTGGGGGAGTCTGGGCTGCTTGGTCACCCCATGGCTGTGGGGGCCACAGTCCTGAGAACCAGGGCTCCCTGCTGGCCGCCAGGCTCTGACAGCTGCACCACTGGTGTCCCTCTGCCGTGGGCTGAGTGCCAGCCCTGCTGTGGCAGTGCCAAAAGGGAAGGATGTGGGGGAGAGAAGATGAAATTGGTGCGGACCAGCAGATCGTCTGGCATGGGGACTGTGCCATGCAGGTGATCTTGGACCAGCACTGGGCTCCTGTCTGACTTTGGCTGCTTCCTTTGCAGAGGGGAAAGCAGAAGTATGGCGCACAGCTGGTAGTAGGGAACTGGAATTCCCCAGGCAGCTGCCAGAGCCCAGGCCTCCCTCCACAGCTGGCAAGCCTGGCTGTTGGACTCTGGGAAATACATCCCAGGCTCTCTGGACCTGCACCACTTGGAGGCCTGGCTTTGGGCAGTGCTGGGTCCAAACCCCACACATGCTGTGAGGTCTGAGCTAGGACTCTGCATTGCTTAGCAGGGACAAGAGGGTCTGTTGCCCATGAGGATCAGAGTAAAGGACTGTCCCAGGCCATGTTCCTGCCGTGGCCTTCTGCTGAGCTTTGCCAGGGAGAGGTTAGGATGGAAGAGCTCCAAGAAGGGGTCTGGGGGAGGCAGGGAGATTATTTCTCCATGCAGCAGTGAAGGATCTCTGCTCCCAAGCATGGCACTCGGGACTCATTTTAATTTTTTGTTCTCTCCTATCCCCTTTGTCTTCTCTGTAGGTTGGTTCACCTGGCCATTATCCACTGTGTCCCAACTGTAGCACTCTGCTGCATCGCTCAGCTACCCAGGGAGGTGCTGGAGATCCAGAATGATCTTTTCCAGGTGTGTGGTTGTGATAAGCACAAGATGGGAGGAAGGGAGGTGCTGCAGGCTGTTCCCTGTGCTTTCCCCAGGAACCCCCACACGCTTCCTCCATAGTATGGTGAAGGTTCCACGTGAGCACCCCCTTTGCAGAGAAGGGAAGAGGGGTGTTGGAGATACCCTGACGGAGAGGTGTGACAGTTCCTAGCACTGTTTGGTGAAGGGGTCCTTTACAAGGCGCTAGGACATTACAGACAGCCCCAGAGGGTGGGAGCAGGCACGGCTTGAATGTGGCAGCATAGATAACTTGGGAGAATGAGATCTGACCCCACGGATGATCTCTGAGCTGAGGTGCAGGGGGCCAGCAAGCTGTTTGCATCCCCACAGCGTCAGCCATGTGTAACCTCAGGACAGGGTTGGGGATCTCCTGTGTGGCTGTCAGCCCACGCCGCTAGCCTGGCTCCTGTGGCTCATCGCACCTTGTGTCCTGTGGGGCACTCTCCCCTTTCCTAATTTCTCTTCAGACCCCACTCCACCTTGCTGTGTACTTGGAGCAGCCCAGTGTGATCCAGGCATTGATCCACAAGGGAGTGAACCCTGGTCTGCAGGACCGCAATGGCAACACCCCTCTGCACCTAGCCTGTGAGCAGCAGCACCTGCAGTGTGCCCAGCAGCTGCTGCAGGGCACAGCCCTACCAGAGGGCACAGCTGAACCCCATGAGCACCACCAGGACCTGCAGCTCCAGAACTGGCAAGGTGAGACCTGGGGGCAGCCTAGTTTCAAGCTGGGGGCCAGGCTGGGGCAGAGACCACGAGTTGTGCGTGCAGGGATCCAGGAGCACAGCAGAGTGGGCATGGGGCTGGGATTGGTGTGCCCCAGAGTGGTCTGGGCTGACTGTGGCTCTTTCTTCTGCCTCCCCATCGCAGGCTTGGCCTGTCTGCACATCAGCACCTTGAAGGGGAACATCCCGATGATGTCTCTGCTGCTGGAGAGCGGTGCCAACATTGATGTTCGGGTAAGGCTGGGCCAGTGCATCCTTCCCTTGGGCACTCCCTTCAGCCTTGGGATAGGCACTGCTGTGAGACTTGGAATTTTGTGAGGCACTGAATTTCGAGGGAGCAGGGAGTAAAGGTCCTTGAGGGGTTGTTGAGTGCTGTGACAGCAGTCAGGTTGGGGACTGCGGCAGTCCTGTCTGCACCCTGTCGAATGGGTGTGGGTGGATACTGTGGGGCCCAGCTGAGGGGACCCCACACCCACACCCTTGCGGTCTGTGGGTTGCAGGAGGGCACGAGTGGGAAGACCCCCTTGCACCTGGCCGTGGAGTGCCACAACCGCAGGGCTGTCCAGTTCCTGCTGCGCAATGGGGCGTACGTGGATGCCCAGATGTACAACGGGTGCACCCCACTCCACCTGGCCGTGGGCCGCAAGGATGCTGCCATCGCCGCCATCCTCTCACACTCCGGCGCTGACACCCTGCTGAGGAACATGGAGAATGAGACAGCCCAGGACCTGGCTGATGGCAACGATGATGTGAGTCTGTGTTGGGGGAGGCCTGTGGCTCTGCAAGTGCACGGGAGTTGCAGGATGGTTTGGGGGGGAGCTCCTAGGAAGTTTCTAGCTGTTCCTGTCCTGCCCTATAGAGTGGAGGTATTGGCTCTGAGGGTGCACAGGTAAGTGCCTTTTCCCTCAAGCCCTAGGGAAAGCCCAGACAGGGTTTCTTAGCACTTCCCTGGGGAGGTGCAAGGCGGCAGGACTGGGTGGGGGGAAGGTTTGTGTTTCTGCCCCAGCTCAGTGGAGACACAATCCTGGATCCTTACATGTCCATACCCTTGGCCTTTGCAGCTCCTCGCCTTGTTGCCCTTTGATGACCTGAAGATCTCAGGGAAGCCTGTTGTGTGCTCTGAATGAGCAACTGGACTCCTTTGGCCCGTTGGGCTGCCTCCTTGCTCTGTGCTGCTGCCCTGCTGCCTGCTGGGACCTTGCCTGCCTGCAGTTCAATGGGAGCAGAGACACTTTGGGAGACTTATCCCCACCCCTCTCCTCCTTGGAAAAGTTTTGTTGGCCTCAGACTGCCTTCCGAGAGGGAAGAAGGTGGAATTATGAGCACTACACAGGGGAGGCTTTTTTCTTTTAGTATCTGTGCACTGCAGCAGGACTGAATTTCCCCTCCCTGCCGTGGGTCTCTAGCATACCCAGGGAAGGAGCAGAAGACTCCTTTTCACACTGTAGGGTGGACAGAGCATTCTTTGACACCCCCAAATGCTATCAGAATCAGCGTGGGGTGAGGAGAGTTAACACTCACTCTAATAAACATTTGTTGTTGCTGCGTGCACCAGAAGTGTCATGTGATCTAACCCACCCTGCATCAGGAGGCTGAGCATTACCCCAGGGGCCCCGGGCACGAGGGCTGCAGGGGTTTCCCCAGTCTGCCTGCTCCCTCAGGTCCTTTGCACCACATAAGGCGAGTAGGAGCACAGGGGCTTCCCCACAGCCTTTCCCCTCTCCTCGGCGGAAAGGCTCGGGGAGCCTTTCTAGTGCTCGGGGCACTCGAGGCTGGGGCGTCCCAGCCTGGTGCTCTTATTCCCACGCTGTCCTGCTGAGCATCTGGCTGCAGGGCTGAGGAAAGAACATAGGAGATGCCAGAAGACCAGGTCGTAGATCACTGCTTCTGCTGTTGTGCCTGATATCTTGATGCCTTACTGTGCTGTGGTTTCCTCTTTTGCAAAGAGGACAGAAAGATCATGCCCCATATCCTGGCTTGGAAGGGTGTTAAAACACTTTGAGCATGGATCTTCCTTGGGTTTTAGATTCCTCCAGGCTGAAAGCAGAGGAGATGGCAGGGTTGTCTTCACATCCTTTTTGTTGTTCAGCTCAGCACCCTTCCCTGTCCCTTCTTCAGCCAGATTTGCACATGCAACACAGGAAACCAGCAGCCGAAGGTGCTGTGACAGTGGAGACACACGGAGCCCGGTCTGACCGCACCTCAGCCGGGGAAATTCCCCACTTGTTGCCTGGGAGCAGCTTCTATTGTTTGGGACAAATCCTGGGTGGCGCAATCACCCAGGATGCTCTGGAGTGGAGCTTTGTCTTCTTCCTCCCTTCTTGGAAGGGAAGGCTGCCAGGAAAGAAGGATGGCACCCCCAGGCCCTGCTGGATCTTGCCTGGCCTTTTCAGAGGCCTTGGGCCGGATTGCTCCCTTTCTTTTGAATCTTTGGCTCTCACCTTCTGGCAGGGCCTCAATCCTGCTGCAAGCCCCTGGGTCTGCTTCAGTGCCACCTTCCCAGGGGATGTGAGGTGCTTCGGGGTTGCCCCAAGCAGAAATAACAGGTGGTGCAGGGCAGAATGGGATGGTGGGGCCAGGGATGCAGCTGGGAACGCAGGAAAAGAGGCAGAAACAAGTGATCTGCACTTCTTTTGTTTGCTTGTTCGTTTGTTCGGTGGTGATTTTTTTAAATAAAAGAATTTGTTTTTAAAAAATACATCGTA